TATCGACAACGAATTGTTTTGAGTATGAACTCCTACTCATTTTTTTTGAGTAGCCAAATATTATTCTTTTGTTGTGCCCCCCATTATGATAAATTTTTTGCTCCGCCACTGGTCTTGTAAGAAGGAAAGCAAACATTTTCATAGCATGCGAAAATGACCGCCGTAATTTCCTTCTATCGGTCACAAAATCGGAGTAAAAAGACCATATAAAAGTTAGTAATGAAAAGCATTTCAGTGTTTCCGCTGAACGGTAACCGACCGCTGGGAATTCCTCCTAATCAGTCACAAAATCAAAAATCATATTAAACGGATGCCTGGGTGGGATTAGGAAGCGCTAGGAAGAGCTAGGTAGGGCTAGTCAGGGGCTAGCGGGCGTCTGTGAAGACGCAGGAATCTAAAGAAAAAAAATTGCAAGGCTGCTCGCGCACGGGGAAGAAGATGACTAGTCCTACAATTTTTTAACTGCACTCATTTTTCAAGATGATCCCACCACTTCATTCTCAAAGCTTCACCAAAAATAACTGGACACAAAAGTCCCTGAAACAACAAAAATTGATCGTGCTGCTCCAGACCTACAATCCACATACCGGTATTTAAAGACGACCGGTTTGCAATAGCTGCCCCGTTTTGAAGATAGTAACTAATTACTCCATCAATTTTCTTTGTATTTCTTCGTTCAATTTTTTTGCCACTTAACTAATTACCCCATCAAAATCATATTTTATTACTGTATGTATGTGTTTGTATATTTATTTAATTTTTATGTAATTTAATTTTGATCAAATATATTAAATCCTAAACCAATATAAATTCTTTAATCTTTAAGCAATTAAGCCCATGTGCAAAGCTATAGTATCTGCTTTGTCAGTACCACTCTTCTTCCATGACTTTTCCACTTATCCTAACTTCTAAATGTCATCTTGATTTGCTATATTTTATTACTAAAATCAATATCCATTTTCTTGCCTTCATAGGTTTACTCAATAGGTTATCAATTTATCAAAGTTGCAGAGTTTAATTATTTGGTTGTTTGTAAAACCTCTTTAGAAGAAATCCCTAACATATCCATCGTAAAGAAGTGTTCAATTGTATTTTCTTCTACCATTTGGTTTCCATTGAAGCTTACAGTTTATCACTTTGAATTAATCGTATCATGTTAGTTGTCCTACTTCCATTTACAGTTGTACAGATTGATAACTTCTTTGCATTTGCAGGTAGTCGTTAATTAAGAATGCAATTTTGGAGCACCACTATAGAACAATTCTCAGTAATGTTGCTAAATACCTTACAACTAAACTCAAGCATGTGGCCTATATTAGCAGTCCATGGGATTTTTGCATTGAAATAGGTCCAAGATATTCCACGTAAGCTTATTTATAGTTTGTACCATATTTATACCTTAGACTTATAAATTGTAGTAAATATTCAAAATTTCTTAATTATATGATTATTTGTGGTTTAATTAATCCCTTAATTATAGGATTAGTTATAGCAATAAAATCTCAACCCCCAATCCGTTTCATCCCTCTTTTTTTTTTCCTTCTTCTAAACAATTCATTTTGTTAGATCATGGAATCAATTCTCCTCTTTCTTCTCTCATCTTTCATGGATGATATTTTGTGTTCCTCCCTCCAAAATCCTTCATGACAATTTTAGTTTTTACATAGCTTTCACAATTTTTTTACATATTCGTTCGGCAATACATTATCAATTGCAAGCAATAATACAATATCATGCATTTATATTTGCTCTATTATATTTTTGTGCGTAAGGTAAACTGAAACTTAGTATTTGTTCCTTTTTTTTGTTTAGTATTTGTTCCTTTAATGGAGGTATATTATATCATATTTCTATTCTAATGTTCTACCATGGAGGTTCAACATATTTCTTCCTATACAATAGGTAGTTTATTTTTATTTTGTTGATAGATTATATCTGTTTTGTAGGTATAAAGCATTTTTCTTCCTATACAATAGGTAGTTTATTTTTGTTTTGCAAGTAGATTACATCTGTTTTGTTGGTATAAAGTATTTTTCTTCCTATTCAATAGGTAGTTACTAAATTATATCGGTTTTGTAGGTAAACATCATTAGGTGGTTACTAGATAATATTTTAGTTTGAGTATTTAAATATTCAAAATTAAAAACTGAATAAAAGATACAAAAATTAAAGAATTTAAATATTTTTATCTAAAAGGGCAAAATTGGTATAAAAATATGTAATTGGATAACTAGACTTAGTTCAAAAACTACCTATGTTTTTAGACCTAGATCGAAAAGCCCCTTATTTATATATTATAAAATTTAATAAATTTATACGATAATATAATAAATTTACTTAACTCTGCTTAGACCCCCGTCTAGACTCTAACCCAACGTTTGACTAGCGCCTAGCGTATTTTAAAACTTTGGAATGGATAGTATATGGTGTCCCTTGGCTAAGGCTCCCTTGGCCTCTTTTTGTCATATGGGCTGGTAACCATTGGAAGGAAAAATCTCTGTCGTCAATAGTACTGAAATTATGCCTTGTTGCTATCGTATATTATGTTTAGAAGGAGCGGAACAATCATAGATTCAAAAACTCATGTTAACCCGTTGTGTGATTCCCAACTCAATTAAGTCCATTATTAGACTTCAGTTGAGTTCTTTAAAATCGCCTATTCTATTGCTAATTGTTGGAAATTTGAGTAGTTTGAGTAGAAATTTCTTTGTCCCACATTGGCCATTCCCAAACGATTTTATCACTTTATAAGGCTTTGTCCTTTATAGAAAGTGATTGGAGTAATAGGCCTGGAGACTAAAATTGGGCTCACCCTTGGGGTTGGGCTTTGGGGTGTACTAATTAATTGGTAATTAATATATAATTAATATATAATTAATATATATTTAATTGTCAAAAGATGGGCCTTGGGCCTTGGGACTCTAATAATTAAATTAGTTAATTATTTTCAGAATTAATTAATTATTTTTAATTTCGAATTTAAATTAATTAATTAATTATTTTTACCAACAGACTCATCTTTTCAGATGAAGTCTGAAGTGTGAAAACGCAGAAACAAAAACACCCTTTTCAGCAGATGTCTCCCAACAGTTGCATCCCTTCCTCATACCTGTTGCGAACAGGTATAATCACATTATATATACATCCATATGCATGGCATTTAGAACACAGAAAAATCATAAATCTTCTCCTGCAATCATAAACATCCTTACTGAGAGAACCACATTAATATTCGCCAGAAGTCAATTTTCCGGTGCTGGAATTTCTGACTTAGATCGTTGAATCTTGGTGAAGCAGACGTCCGAGAACTACAAGCACTGAGTAGGGGCGAAAATTCTGTTTCAAGGACATTGCGGTACACAAGCCTCGATCTTCAAGTTGTCTGTTTTTATAATTCGTATTCTAGTTTATATTATGTTAATTCCTATTGCATTTATTATTTATTAGCATATATAAATTATCATAGATTGTTGACCTATATCCAACACTAATGAGTCTACATTACAGAAATGGAATTTACCTATGAATACTTAATGTTTCTTGTTGCTGCTATGATGCAGCATTGTTGGCTTTGCTGCCTGTTTTTCTTCATGGATTTCATATATTCTCACCTTCTTTTCCTTATATTCTTATCAAAATCACCTTACCTTCTTTTCCTTCTATACAAGAATAATTGTAAAAGGTTGTGACTTGGGAGAGATTTTTTAGTGTGCCGAAAACATGACGAGTATATCAAGTGTCTAATACAAGTGGTTAGATACTCATAAAAAAAATAATAAAAAAATCCAACCGCGAACACTTAGCATACTAAACTGTATTCTCGACACACTGAAAAAGTTTCTCATGACAGAGTATTTGAATTTAATCAAACAATCCTTTGTTTATTTTTTTTAATGGATTTGGGTATTATTAATTAGTCAAAAAACAGATTCTGATCAGATGATCAAATAATTTTTCTCAACAGATTGAGTCGGATCTAGAAATTAATATGATTTGTTTCTAAGTCTTGTTGTTTTCCTTTCTATATGAAATCCGTGGAAGGTTCCTTGTATCCTTCTAAAATGATCATGTGGGGATGTCCATATTCTCCGTTTGCGAATAAAATCAACTATTGAAACGGTTCACCCTTCGAGCTACTTAGGCTTCGGCAAATAAAAAAAAAAGAACCATTGCACTTGAATGAAAAACGGAATATTGCTCTTTATATGAAAAATTTATATCCAATTAGTCACGTAATGGGATTCAAATCAAAATACATCGGGCCCCACGTAGGTAAAGAATTGTTTTGATTAATTTCTTTTGATTATCAACGGAGCAAAACGCCCAATAAAAAGAAACTATACTTAGAGGTTCGTACATTCACTACTAGGAGGCATCAACAGAAGGCGTGAGCTTGATCGATAATATAATGTACCAAACTCAAGTTAGCCAGTAGCTACAAAATTCATCTCGCGATAAACATGATGGAATTCACACATCCTTTTATGTGTAACAACTCATGAAAAATCCTCCTTAATAACTCTAAAGTCCGTTATGGAATTATTATTTTGTAGAGATACAACTAGGAATCACCAGCCAAGCAAATCACCATAAGGTAGACAAGCATCCCATTGTTCGCTACTCAACTTGAAAGCCTTTCTTTTGTTTTCACCAATGCTCTGTGGCATTTTACGCCCGCAGTAATAAGCTCAAGGCAACAAACTGGTTCGATGTCTGCATGGTTGCCAAAGAGCATGTTACCATCTATTTCTGTTCCACAATATTCTGAAAATCCGATGCTGCAACTCCGCGGAAACACGGTGGAGGACGTAATTGAGGCCGATGGAGAAAGGGATGCTATAGTTGTAACTGCAGGTGATATTGTTGCAGCAATCACCAGAAACAAAATTGTAATGTCTTTTGGGTAGATGTTGAAACTTATGGCCATTATTTTTTTTATATGGGAGAATTTTTGGAGTTGTCGAGTTAGAAAAAAGGAAAATGTGTATTTGTAGGGCAAATATCGATCATGAAAGATGCATTTTCTACTGTTAAATTGTTTTGGCGTCTTAAGTTAACAGTAAACGTTGAACCGATCCGATCCTTACAACCGGCCGGCCCGGCCTCCAAGATTGCGTACATGATAAAGAGCGTGAACGAGTTGACATGGCAAACGCCAAATCGAATGCAACGCTGAGAAAGCTTTCTTCTTCCTTTGATTCGAACGGAAGAATCATAATTTTGATGAACCAGTGGATAAAGCGTGAGTTACTAGCTCCCTCCTCAAGATCTTTCCTGATGGAGATTTTGGAATGGAGTTGATAAATGCTACACGTCGTATCTTCTTGTACGGAGCAACCTGCAATAAGAAATAAACCAATTCCAATATAAAGGCCTATAAAACACAAAGTTGCTACTCAAATCTTCAGGTAGACACTAATACTTCTAACGTGTTTCGTTCTCTTTTTACGTAAATAAGTTGCTATGTGAAGATACGTATCCGTGACACAAGAAATATTGTAATACACATCGAACATCAACGCTTATTTCTGTGCAGCTAATCAAGATATGAGAATATAAAGGACCCGTGAGCAAGTTTACTTTGCAGGATGTGAAGAAGACAACTAGTATGCACATTCAATGAAAGATTTTCACAAGTACATTCAGAATCATACTTGCTTTGCAACGAAATCCATAACTTGACCCTCAGTGATATTGCTTCCGGGCTTTCTAACCACATAGGCCATGGGAATCTGCCACGCGTCTTCATCCGGATAACTGTTTTACAAGCACAATTCCACAGAAATAAAGGACTTGTCAACCTTGAGGAAGAAAAAAGCAGTGAATTATTTCAGTAACGATCATGTTTTTACTAGCTATGCAAGAAATTTCAATCATTTTTTTCCCTTTTGGGATGGGGGTTGAGCGGCAAAATACCAGATTTCACAGACAATCTTATCAGCAAACAATCCGTTAAATCGAAAAAATTCTTCACCTTTTTGTTTTTTTTTTCAGTGCAGCAATTTCTTGTCTAGAGACAAAGATAAACTGGTAAGAAATTACATTTCAAAAGTAGCAAATAAGAGAGATTGCAGTCACAAACTGCTATACTTACTGCCATAAAGCATCAAAACAAACTAGTTTTCTCGACAAAAATGGAAAGTCATAGTACTAGGTACATACGGAATCACAGCAGCATCCACAACGTCGGGATGGGACTGAAGTATATGTTCCAACTCAGCTGGGGGTACCTGTAATTTGTTCCAGAAGTAGTGACACCAGAAATAACAGATTATTTAAATGGACTGATCAAATGACATTTACAACCATCTTTGTTATGAGTGTCTCAAAGGGTCTGAAACATCCAATCACCTGATATGCCTTGTACTTTATCAATTCCTTTAACCTGTCAACAATGTAGAGGAAACCCTCGTCATCGAAGTAACAAAGATCACCGCTCTTCAACCACCCGTCTTCATCCAAGGTCTCAGCAGTTGCCTTGTCATCTCCAACATAACCTGCACGCATAGTCAGAGAGGGTGTTGGGGGTGTGCAAGAGGTGCAATGGCACAGGTCTCGAATTTCTGAGGGGCCCCTAAATTTTGATGCTCCTATATATTACATATGATTATAAATTTTGTAATAAAAAGTTTTTAGCTGAATAGAAAAATCAACATGATATGATTTTATCTGTATTACAATTAAATAAGTGGAGCTTAGACTTAGTATATTAAATTTTCTCTTTCCCTTATCAATAAAAAAACTCGTGTATTACTTTCTTCCACTTTTCTATAACAATAAAAAACTAAATTATGTATTACTTTTTTCCACAAACTAACTCAAGGTAATGGAGTTCGTCGCCCTTAAAAACCATATTAAGGTATTTTTATTTTGCAACATACAACACTCGAGACAGAGGAAGTGTCTCGTTACCTTTCATGATTGTTGGACCTCGCAGCCATAGCTCACCCCTCTTGCCAGGAGGCAAAGCCTCTCCGGTTTCAGGGTCAACAATCTTGGTTTTCATATTCTCGGCTAGGCGGCCCACAGAAGCACGACGGCTACATTCCTCAGAGTCAATCATTCTCGTACCCCCCTCCTCCGGTCTCGGTTAAACCATATCCCTAAACAACCATAATATTCAAACATTTGACACTGTTGCTAATAAGTTGCACTAGATTATTCATCAAAAACTATTTAACTTTAAAGTTAAGCAGTAAAAAAGTATTTGGTGAAAATAAAATATACTGTTTATTTTAAAAGTAATAGTCCCCGGATAGTAGCTTTTAAAAACAACATGTACATTGATTTTAAAAGCTGCTTTAATAAAAAGTGAAGTTGAGCCTTTAGAATACTTTTAATTCATGTAATAAACTTATTTTAAACGATGATATTATTTATTTTTGTAGACACTGTTTTTGATCTAAGAATATTTTTTTATAAAGTACAGTTTATCAAACGATCAACTGCATTATTTTGCAATTGATTATCCTTAAAACACAACATAAGCAATTTAAAAAAACACAGCAATCCCAAACTGGGTCTAAGACTATAAATCTGGGGATGCATGAATTAGGGGACAGTAGAATTATGTGAATAACGAAGCAATTAAACCTGAGTTAATCAATTAGTTAGACAAAACAATTCAATGGTTTCACTATTTTGTGCGCATGCTCATTTGACCTAGCTACATTCAGCGGTGGAAAAGTCTCCTTAATTAATCACAAATTGGCTTAAATTTGTTTTGTTACTGTTTGCTAGGTAAAGAAAATTATAATTTACAACGCGTATTTAATATTTTAAAAGAAAGAACAAAAATGCTATTTTTATTGTGTATTTGTACACTCACTTATATTATTTCTTTAATAAAAATGAACCCGCATGCATTAGAGGATCTTACTTTTATTCTAAATATAATACAAATATATAGTATGTGTAGCACTACTCAATAAGAAAGAAAAAGTTTGAAACTTAACAAAAATTATCGATAAATTTTTTTTTACCATTAAAATGATAAGATAAATTATTATTTTTTTGTTAAACGATAGATTTATTAAAAAAAATATTATTGACATTTTAAAAATTTTATTCTATTTTTTGTAAAAATATTTTTTTTCTAATATAAAAAATTTAAAATATAAAATTAGATTTTTAAATACTAATAACAATTCCCTTATTAAATTTGGAAGTTCACGAGGTACAAACTCTCGCAACAATGATCTCCAGTTGCAGTTAAATTTCTGACCTGTCCAATTTCCACACCGGTAAATCTCTCACAAAATCTGTCAACAACCTCCTTGCTCAGCGGCGCGCCGCCACAGCCGAGACGCCGAAGCGAGCCGAGACGTCGAAGCGAGCTGAGATCGTACTTTTGTGTCGGTTTCATGAACTTGTGAGTCATAAACGGACATAAAGTGTAGAGGAGTGATGTTCATGATAACTTCTGGACCGACAGACACAACTCTTAATTTAGGACAATCTTTGACAATATTCCAACATTCCCATCGGGTGAATGATTTGTTTTTATTTTTAGTTTTGGCATTATACCAAGCTTGTGCTTGAAGTGTCTACACAATGCGGGAGAAGAAATAATTATAATCAAAGTAGCTAATGTAAATTTGGGTATAGTACAAACAAACAAATAAATAATATATTGTTACATAATCCACTAAATTTTCCCCACTTCCAAGATTAGCACTAGTTTGTGCCAAGGCATCTCTCCAAAGACTAAACGATTGGCTGAGTATTCTCCAACGACTGGACATCGATTCTTTGTTTTTTTTTCCCACCAATTTTCTTAAGATAATTGGTATGAATAAGACTCCACACTTCTCACAACTACATCTCATTACCCGTAATCGGATCATGAGTAACTTCAACCCAGTTAGAACACAACGTAACATCTTCAATAAGCGTCCAATTCGAACCTGCATCATTAGTCATTTTGTTGGAAACCAATTGGATTGAAAATTTGAGAGAAAAATTGGAATGTGGTTGAAAGTATTTGAGAAAATATGAAATTGTGGTGTAAGGTAGAAGATAATGAGAAGGTATTTATAGAAAAGTAAAATCATTTTTTTTAATTTTTTTTCAGATTTTTTATTAATTTTTAACATTTTTATTAACTTAATTAATCTCTGCCATTGGATTAAAAAAATTTGAAATCCAACCCTCCAGATTGTGCCATGTGGCACAACGGTAACATTTCAGAATTTATTAATGTGAATTCTTTTTTTTTTTTAATTTTTAAAGGCGAATAACGTGGACCGTTGATCTCAAATCCAACGGCTGATATTGCGGAAGGTTTCAAAAATTTTTTTATCGTTGGAAATCCAATTGTCCAGATAAAGTAACCGTTGAAATCCAACTGTAACATTTATGCCGTCTGCGTCGTGGGCCCTAGCACTTGAAATGTTGTCGGGGACGCGCCCCCACCCGTATGTGTTATGCATGCGCCTGACGTAAAAATAATTAAATAGTGACTGACGCAACCCTGACGTCAACATTGCATTACCTGGCCCTTAGGCTCTCGGGCCACCAATTCGCGACGACCTTCTCACTCGGACCCCTCTCCCCAATCGCCCACATGGGCTGGAGGTTGTTGATAGGGCTATTGGGTCTTCAAAGTCACCGGTTCATCGGGCTCCAGCTCCCGATGGAGTTGCTCTTATGATATCCACTAAAATCTTCATGAGCACTCACTGAATCTCTCGATTCGATTTTGAGTTATACCACCAGTTTTGCCCCACCACAAGCACCTCTCCAATATCTAATGTATATTTTTTTTCATAGAAAATCGAAAAATTGGCCAAAATAAGGATTTATTATAAATCCAGTACCACTATGCCAAAATGATAATTTTTTTGGATTTTCTCGTTATATTGTCAATATTGATCAATAATGTTATCGTTATTTATTTTAATTTTTTCAACCATTGACATATGTAAATTTCATTTCAGCTCATTTACCCAAAAAATTAAATGAATGGAAAAACGCCATCATGAATAACTGATTAAAAGAGAATAAATTAGTTTAACGTTTAGTCATAAGTTATGACACCAAAACTAATTTAACAATTGGAATTGTACCTTAATTACATGATCAAATACTTGGGCTATGAACCCTCATTTTCTTGTTTGCTAATCTCGACCACGAGAATCTTGGCCAGCAAAAGAAAATTGATATGTGTTTGGGTTAAAAACTGAACTTTAGGCCTAAGGATAGAGTCGGCCCAAAAGGAGGCCTGGAGGAATAGAAGATCAATGCCCAGCCGAGACCTGGGAAGGCAGGAAGGGGCCTTTTCTGACTTGATACAATTCACAAAGGCCACTTGCCTACCTACCCAAGGACCAAGTGGTGTAGACTGATCAGACTGCACAACTCATAAAGTACTTTATGGTGGCATTACATGTAATAAAGCTGATGAGTCATCACCCTCAGACCGCATTCGGGCAAAGCTGCTGCTACAGGAGCCAAACCGAGTAGTCTATAAAAGGAGGAAAAGAAGATAGGAATAAGGACACTCAAACAAACAAACAAAAGCACAAACTCTGCTCAAAAAGCCAGATTTGCCTTTCAAAACGAAGCTGTAGTCAGCCCAAGCTTTCATCCCCCTCGGGATAATCTTTTCTCCTAAACTTTGTAATAGCTCTGCTACCTTGTTCAAACTTGTTGTAGTATCGATTCACCCTTTTGTATTCTCCTTTCCCCTCTCCACCTAAGCTTTCAGACCTTTGACAGAACCACAAAGATAGGGACCTGCAAGACGATCAGCCTTAATTGATAAGGTTTAATCTTGCCCGACCTGCTTTGTTCTGTCTTTGTCTTTTCTTTCTTTAACGTCTAGCGATATGTTGTATGTTTTTAGTTATATGCAAGTTGTTTCTAGCAAAATCACGACAAAGCTTTCTCAACACTTGGATCTGATTTAAATATATCTTCAATGCTTAAATTAGATCCAAGTCCTAAGCCCGCAGGCATGTAAATCTGATTAGTTTAAAAGTCCTTGGCCTCAAGGCATAAAAAAGAACTTTATGTGGACTTAACCCATCCACGACAATCCTTGATAAACGAGAAGTCCGAAGTTACTTGGGGCGCAAGTAATTGACCTACCTTCTAGTTTTCTTTCTATTATATCATGATTATCATAGAACGCTTAAGCATGGGATGAACTATAATGGAAAGCCTCAAGGCCTACACCTAAGGCCCCACAAAGGCATCCATTTGGATTCATCCTATTCAGCGATCTTAAGAGTCTAAGTATAAGAATGAACTCTGATGGGAAGCCTCAAGGCCTACATCTAAGGCCCCACAAAGCACCCATCTGGGTTCGTTCTATTCCTTGGATTCGGGTAATCAGAAATATAATGGTTAGAAGACTCCTACAATCACAAGAATACATATGATGCATTCGAGTACTGGTTTAGTTATGTATGGGAAGCCTCAAGGCCTACATTTAAGGCCCCACAAAGGCACCTGTTATAACTAAACACGGTTTCTTGGATACATATATATATATATATACAATGAAAGAACGACAACCATTTTATATCTGCCATGCTAAAGATGGCAGTGGCACGCCTGAGCACCTAAATGTTAACCTTGATTGTGAGCCTCAAGGCCTACACCTAAGGCCCCACAAAGGCACCTCTCAAAGTTAACTATGTCCTTCTCTTTCAGCCTTGCCCGAAGAGCCTTGCCCGAAGAGTCTTGCCCGACGAGACTTGCCCGACAACGCCCAGAAACGAAGCAGAAGCCCGACAGTAGCCCTCAACCGGCGCCAACCTCCAGGGGAGCTGTTTGCTCGTCGGCCAGGAAACATCGCCAGCGGAAATTCCTGCCACGAACATAGTTTTGGCACGCCCGGTGGGATCCAAACTTCTAAATCTTGCATGTCCAAAAAGAAGAACCATAAACTTGATAAAAAGAATCCAAAGGAAGGTCTTCTCCAAATGACAGAACAATCAGAAAATCCTTCTTCCCCATCCGGACAGGTGGCTCCAGATAGCCCGACTACATCTGAAAGATCACAAGGAAATGGAAGCAATGAAGAGCTACAAGCTACAATGATCCAAGTGTTAAAAAGCATGGAAAGGATCTCCCTAGAAACAAAGGGAGAAGTAAGCAGACTCTGTATGCTCACAGGGAATCTACAGAGAAGGCTTGATTTGGAGTTCTCTACTCCAAAGGATGCTCAAGGAAGTGGAATAAGCCGGGTTATCACGAGAGATGAGCCAATCATTCCCTTATTCCCACTACTAGAAGAAACAGGAGATAGGGGAAAGAAAAAGGTAATTCTTGAGGGAAGTCAACCAGCGATGGAGCCGATCCTGATGACAGAGTTTCTTAGTTTCCCATTATTATCATATAATAATAAGGGAAAGGACGAACAAGAAAGGATGAGGTACGGAATGCCAGGTATGATGGGAGAAACTAGTGGAAAAGAGACTACCACTACTACTACCACTACTACGTCAGATAAACCTCCACCCTATAGACCGCCCCCGATGGTCAATAAAGGTGGAAGATCTAACTGGAGGAAACCCGAACCAAGGAGGGAAGCGAATGCGGGTAATGACCGGAGCCCGAAGATTAGATCAGCTATCCTCGGTCATAATGATAATTTAGCCACTCAATAACTAAGGGAGGAATTGGCTGAGTTAAGAATAACGGTGACTCAAAATGCCCAGCCGCGGGCTCGCCCAGTGTTCAAGATTACTTACCAGAAGCCATATCCTGAACATATCGACGAGCTAAATCCATTCCCTCTCAACTTCAAGATGCCCGCATTCCCCACCTTCACAGGTGAAGACAGCAGTGTGTCTTCCAGAGACCATATTTTCAAATTCTCCAATCACTGTATAGCGTATGAGGACAATCCAAACTACAAATTGAGGTTGTTTGGAAATTCGCTGGCAGGACTGGCGTCTCAATGGTATTCTCTATTACCCCCTAACTCTATTGCCAACTGGGGACAAATGGAGATGGCTTTTCATGAACAGTTCTACAGGATAGAGCCAGAATTGACCATCAATGATCTAGTGGAGGTAAAACAATACGATCATGAATCCACGGAAGACTTCATGATGAGGTTCAGGAGGACCAAGATAAGATGCCAATTCCCCGTCAACCAAGCACAGCTCATATCTATTGCTCAAAGGGCTTTAAAATTACCTTTGAGAAAAAGGTTCTATGATGCACAGTTCAGTGAGCTGCAAGAACTCGTGATTGCTGCCACGAAGTACGAGAGGTTGTTACAAGAGGAACAGCAAGTGAAGCACACTTCCAAAGTCCCTCATTTCTAAAAAAACAAGGCTACTATTCACCATGTGGAGGTAGGAGAAACCAGGC